TTATACAGGTGGGATCAATCCTCTCCTGTGGAGACCCATTACTGGTATTGGTTCATTCAATCTTCCTTCTTATGATATTGAAATTACATCATTTTTAGGGAGTATATTAGATGGAAAGATCCATAAGTTAGGTTTTAGTGTCACAAATGCTTTGAATGTTTGGTATATAGATGCAAATTTGCACCTTTGGTTGGACCATAAGAGCAGGAAAACTAAAGGGAAGGTTTTGAAACATGAAAGTAAGCCTCTTGTTTTTTCTTTAGTGTCAAATTTCAAGGATTTGAATGGAACATTCTTAACAACTGCACGAAGGTCCATATCCACAAGTGGATGGGTGCAGTCATCCTTTGGGAAGATCACTACCCGCTTTAATCAACACTTCAGTTACAGCAACTCAATGGAGATGGGTGATAATGGGAATTTGCAGATTGTGAATCAGATAATTAACTTTAATGACACTGTTTCTTTCAGAAAGCTTACTTCTTCTCTTCATTCATTCAAATCATCAAAAAGGTTCCATATTGACATGTACTCAGACTTATTTGATCAAGGAAATGGCACTTCCTTATACGTGACAAACGTCACACTCGGATTCAATGAGGAGAAATTAAAAGATGCTGGATCCGGACTTGGGACAAGCCATCTAAAAAATCTGCAGGATGCACAGGGTGTTATGGTTGTAAAGAACAATTTGGTGGTCAGTGGAGTGGGAAGTACACAGCAGGCTTACAAATATGATGACAATAAGTTCTGCTACTTTAGGAACATAAGCAGTTCAAACTACAGCATTCTTTATGACAAAGTGGGAAATAAGTGCAATAAGAAGGAACAGTCTCATCTGAGTTTTGGGATTAGCAGATTGTGGCCATTTCCAGCTCGAAGGGCTTCTCTAGCATCTGAGTTACCATATAATGATGGAGTTTAATGATATTTTCCATTTTTTGATGCCTTCCTAAAGGAACCCATCTTGATTGCTCCAGAGGTTTCCATTGCTCAGGTAATTTGAAAATTGAAATAAAAATTGCAAGTGCGATAGTGTATATATCTTTTGAAAGAAAGTTCCTAGACTATATTTCTTTAAAGAAAGTTCCTTTTGTGTTATCCTTGTATTTATTTGCGTTCTTGTATCTTTTCTCTCTATGACCTGCTTGAAAATAGACTGGATTTATCTTTCATGTGGATGGGGGCGCGCAGAGAAATTCATTGGTATCGCATAATTTTTCCCCGAACTTGACCGCAGATGTTCCTGCCTGAAACTGAACTTAATTATTTAACCTAATAGCCAGTGTTTCTATTTTATCAGAGATAAAAAAAAGAGCTAAGCTTTTAAATTTAACAAGTTCTCTGTCTTAGTCAAGTGGCTTTGTCTTGTCATATATAAGGTAAGTGTGAGCAAACTTTGGAAACAACCAAAAACTGAGCTGAACCAAATTATTTTCGGTTTTTGGTTTGGTTTTTTAGATTTCGGTTTTGCTTTGAAAACTTTCATAATTTTGGTTTTTGTGCTTTGAATAAGTTATTCCAAAATATTTATTTTCTGAGTAAAACCGAACTATTTGATTAAACTGACCAGTTTGGTTTGATTATTAAATTTATTTTGATTTGATTTGATTTTAAATAATATATATTTTCAATTTTTGCGGTTCGGTTCCGTTGGTTTGTACACCCCTAATTTAAAGATTGACAGAAGTAGGAGATGTCATGCCAGTATGATCTGATCCTTATCTCTTTCGTAGTCTTCTAAACCACTAACTTAAAATTAAAGATTTGCCCATGTAGTTAACTTAATTTGTCTTATGGCATCCTCAAGTTTGCGGAGAATCTATCATAATTCTACACTTTTACATTTCAGTAATAACTATGCCTCTCGTCAAAATAAAATATAAAAGTGTGCAGGTTAGGATTGACCTTTTGCAAAGTTATTTCATTTTGACGTGTGGTGTAATTATTATTGAAATGTGAACATGTAAGTTATGATAAGTACACGCAAACTTGAAAGTGCTATAAATCAAATCAGGAGCAAATTTATGGATTAAGCCAAAATAAAAGTTTGATTATTGGCTAAGTTGAGGCCACAAGTCCTTTTGGATTTTGTTTTAACAATAGTATTTTGATGGTTCACCTGGGGAATCCAAATGGCCCTTTACCTGGAGCAAATCCATATGAAACTCATTTCTTTTGCAAATGAATTTCCTTAAAAAAATTCATTTTAAATAAACTGCCATGTTTGGATTAATTGTAGAGTTTATTTTGAATATCTTGTGCTTCAAGTTTATTATCTTGTAACCCCTAAAAATAAATTCCTTTACTGATCTGGAGAAGATGGTTGAAGATATTGTTTCTTGTGATACTGTGCTCACAGTTTTCAGATTTTCAATCACTGTGGACAATCATTAAGGCTCCCTTTGGAGAATGTAATAGAAAACAATGTAATATAATCAAATATGTTTCAAATAGAAATACTGAAAATGCATTTGATTACACTGTACTACATTCTATATTTACGTATTTAAATTGCAATGACCTAGAATGTTGAGATGCACAACAGCTTATGATATATTTTTAAGACATGATTTTAATTTTAATATCTATCTATATTTACGTATTTATATAAAGCTATATGCCAAAAAAAGGGTTTAATTTTCTTAATATGTATAAACTGCAATATGTTATAAGAAAATATGTTACATACTTACCTTTAATAATTAAATAAACTTTAATAAGTTAGCTTTATTAAATGAACTTTCTATCTCTCGGGTTTGACTCCCGCTAAACACACCTGCAGAGAGGGGTAAAGAGCTTTAACTGTGATTAAGTCCCGAACTGGATTAGGCGGTCTCTGATAATAGCGTCGAATATCGAAGGTTCACACCAAAAAAAGAATCAACTTTTTATCCCTCGGGTTTGATTCCCGCTAAACACTCCTGCAATGAGGAGCAAAGAGCTTTAATTGTAATTAATTCTTGAACTGGATGAGGCGATCTCTGATAATAGGGTCGGATATTGAAGATTTACGCGAAAAAAAAAGGAATCATCTTTTTATCTCCCATTTGCAATAATTAAGTTATTCTCACGTAAACTTTATATCTCCTTTGTTTCAGTAATTTAGTTCCTATGATTTAATAACAAAATAAGTTATTTTTAGATATTATTAAATTAATCATTATTAAGTGAACTTTTTGTTTCTTTTTTTAATAATTTTAATTATTATGATTTAATTACAAAATAGGTTATAAGTTAGCTCGCTAATATTCAACAAAAATTTTTTGCATAAGCTTTAATAAGATTTTGCTTTAATTGGGTGTAGATAAGTGTGACATCCCAAACCTGACAAGGCGATCCTAAGAGAATTCATAGAGCAAAGCTCCTGGCTAGCTTCTAGGATGACAGGTTAGTTATGGATAGTGAAATGCGGGACATAGGAATGAATCGAAAAGAAAAACTAATCATCAAAGGTACCTTTTGATAAAATGGCTTGAAAAGTTGGAAGAAGAACTTTAGGGTTAAGAGTACTTACTTAACAGAAATCCTAAGATGAATAATCTCCTACGAAATTACTGGAATGGATGTAATTGGCTTAATCCATAGCACATAATTCCTTTGGTGATTGGAGTCGGCCCGATAACAAGTCTTATCTTATATGAACTATCAAATCAATTACCCTATTAAGATAATTGTAAATTTTTTCTTTGTTACGAAAATTTTCATTTTTCAAACCGAAACTAAATACATGATTCATAATTTACAACATTTTATATTTTATTTTCCGTCAAAAGAATTAACCATATAATTTAGTAAGATTGTATCTTCCATTCATCGTAAAATAATTATTTTATAATCACCTAAAAAAAGAAATCCAATCTTTTCTAACTCTTAAAAAATAATTTGAAAAAAAAGAAGAAATCATTGTTTTTAGCTAAAAAGACCAAAATTATGCTTTGTGTTCAAATCCAACATTTTGTCTTCTCTTAATAAGATTTTTTTTTTCCAAATTTGTCCTAATCTATCATATTATATAAAAGCTGCATTTAAAAACTATTTCTCACGAAAAAATGTGAACAAAATTAAAATATAATTTTTCAATTTTAAATGTAATTAATTTTTGATAGGTTTTACATTTAATTTTGAGTTCAGCATTACCTTTTTGCATTCTTATGATATTGGTTTTTTTTTTAATTATTTCATATTTGATAATTTAAATTCGCATTGTACAGGTTTATGAAGGAGGCAAATTGCTCCCTCTTAAATGTTTAAATGATTTATATATTCAAAATTTAAATTGAGACATCTGATTAAGTGAGAAGAGATCCATATAATTTCATCTCACCCCTCGAGAGTTATGATATTATTATTAATTGTGATTATTTAAAGAGTTTTCTTGAGAGTTAAATAATTAAGGAGCCTTTTAAGTTTGTATAAATTAAAAAATATATCATTCAACTTTAAAATAAAATTAGTTTTATGTTTGGTAAGACTCCAGAATTTACATTATTTATGTTTTTATAGAAAGTCAGAAGTACAGTCAAATTACACCATATTCTTGCTATGTTATTTTAAAATTCTTTAGCATTTTTATTTATATTTTTTATAATACTTAGCTTTCAAATTTCAATATTATTTCTTTAATTGTAAAATATGCTTAAATCTCTAAAATATGTATTAATTAATACGTCTTTTTATTTTTAAAAATTATTATTAATTTATGAATTTTTTAAAATTTGTTTAAATTTATTGTCGAGTCATTCCGTCCAAATAATTAATATTGTTTGTCTAAAAAAATCAGAATATTTTATCTGAAAAGTATGTTTGATTAACCAAAAAATGCTTCCTTTTTTAAAGGAAGAATCCGACAGTGAATTTAGCAAAAGTATACTAATTTGTCAAAAATAAATAAACAAATTAATTAAGATATAACTTAAGGATCAAAATGGATTTTACTTTTTTTAATATATTTAAAAATGAAAAGTTTTAATAAATTTTAATAATTCGAATATCTGCAGCTCAGTTGAACGAAAGGAAAGAAGTCAAAAACATGATGCCAAGTAAAGCAGGAGCAACAAGAACCACTGTTCATGGCTACCTCTCTCTTGCCTCTGCTCCTCTCTTTCCTCTTCCTCAACTATCATGTCCCCTCCACAGCCAACATTCACAAAGCCAAAATCCTCCTCAAATCAGACCTCCTTGTCGAACCCACATCTGCAAATACTTCCAAATCCTTCAATGATACCCCACCAACTGTTTATTTTGAAGTAACAAAACCCATTGAAGTCCCAAATAAGGTCAAACCTTGCGTATATACTGTTCTGCAACATGATTTTTGTTATACATATGGAAAACCTCCAGTTCTTGCAAATTATACCCCTCCTTCTCATTGTACATCTCACCATTTCTCCAAAATTGTTCTTGAATGGAATTCAACTTGTAAAGGAAGACAATTTGATCGCATTTTTGGGGTTTGGTTAGGTGGTGTTGAGCTTCTGAGGAGCTGCACAGCTGAGCCAAGAGCAACTGGGATTTTTTGGTCTGTTCGAAAGGATATAACGAGGTATTATTCTTTGCTTACTAAGAATGCGACTCAAGAGTTTGCTGTTTATCTTGGTAATATTGTTGATAATACTTATACTGGGGTTTACCATGTGAACATAACTATTTATTTTTATCCTGCTGAAAAGAAATTTAGTTATACTGAGTATGGTTTGAGTCATTTGGTAGATGCACATGGTTCTAATGCTGATTTGATCTTACCCATTTCAAGAAATTTTCCATTGAATGATGGGCTGTGGTTTGAAATTGAGAATTCTACTCATACCCAATTGAAGGAATTTGTGATCCCTCAAAATGTGTATAGGGCTGTTTTGGAGGTTTATGTTTCTTTTCACGAGAAAGATGAAACTTGGTATTCCAATTATCCTAACGAGTATATTGTTGCCAATAATCTTACTGATACCCCTGGAAATGGTCCTTTTAGGGAGGTTGTTGTTACTCTTGATGGGGAGGTTGTTGGTGCAATTTGGCCTTTTACTGTGATTTATACAGGTGGGGCCAATCCTCTCCTATGGAGACCCATTACTGGTATTGGTTCATTCAATCTTCCTTCTTATGATATTGAACTTACATCATTTTTGGGGAGTATATTAGATGGAAACAACCATGAGTTAGGTTTTAGTGTCACAAATGCTTTGAATGTTTGGTACATAGATGCAAATTTGCACCTTTGGTTGGACTATAAGAGCACAAAAACTGAAGGGAAGGTTTTGAAACATGAAAGTAAGCCTCTTGTTTTTTCTCTAGTGTCAAATTTTAAGGATTTGAATGGAACATTCTTAACGACTGCAAGGAGGTCCATCTCAACAAGTGGATGGGTGCAGTCGTCCCTTGGGAATATCACTACCTGTTTTAATCAATACTTCAGTTACAGCAACTCAATGAAGATTGGTGATAGTGGGAATTCGCAGATTGTGAATCAGATAATTAATTTTAATGACACTGTTTCCTTCAGAAAGCTTACTTCTTCTATTCATTCTTTCAAATCATCAAAAAGGTTCCATATTGATATGTACTCTGACTTATTTGATAAAGGAAATGGCACTTCCTTAATTGTGACAAACGTCACACTTGGATTCAATAAGGAGAAATTGAAAGATACTGGGTGGGGATTTGGGACAAGCTATCTAAAAAATCTGCAGGATGCACAGGGTGTTATGGTTGTAAGGAACAACTTGGTGATCAGTGGAGTGGGAAGTACACAGCAGGCTTACAAATATGATGATAATAAGTTCTGCTACTTTAGGAACATAAGCAGTTCAAACTACAGTATTCTTTATGACAAAGAGGGAAGCAAGTGCAATAAGGAACAGTCTAATCTGAGCTTTTGGATTAGCATATGGTGGCCATTTCCTACTCGAAGGACTTCTCTAGCATCTAAATTACCAAATGATAATGGAGTGTAATGATATTTTCCTTTTTTGGATACCTTCTCAAGGAACCCATCTTTGATTGCTTCAGAGGTTTCCCATACTCAGGTAATCTGCAAAATGAAATACAATTGCAAGTTTGATAGTCTATATTTCTTTTGAGAAAAGGTGCCTTTGTGTATATATTTGCTCTCAGTTAGCTGCTTGCAAATAGACTGTATTTAGCTTTCGCGTTGATGGGGACTGGGAAATTCATTGATTTTGCATAATTTTCCACAAATAACCGTTGAATGGTGCTGTAACAATAGAATTTGATAGGTCAGTAGTTCACATGATAATTTCTAACGGTCTTTGACATGGTATTTGGAATAAATCCATATGGAATCCATTTCTTTAAAAAAAATCATCTATTAATGAACTTCCATGTTTGCATTAACTGTAAAATTTATTTTAAATATGTAATTTTGTTATCTTGTACTTAGAATTCATTTTCATTTTTTAGTAGGTTGTACCCTTACCAAGTTCAGAGTTCATTTGCAACTTCTATTAATATTTGTAGAATTTGATTCAAATATAACTAATTTGTGGAATTAAAAATTGTAAAACTTGAAATAAGTTTTCATTTATGCCAACATAAAAATGTTGACATGTAAATGAATTCTGTAAAATTTATGGAATTCATTTATACCAAAGAAGCTAATATTTGTAGAATTTGATTCAAATATAACTAATTTGTGGAATTAAAAATTGTAAAACTTGAAATAAGTTTTCATTTATGCCAACATAAAAATGTTGACATGTAAATGAATTCTGTAAAATTTATGGAATTCATTTATACCAAAGAAGCTCTTAGAGAAATATCTCCATAAATGCATCTGATTTTAAGTTGTGCATGTCACTGACTTAATCCCCCATCTTTTATGTCTTCCCTTTTGAAGCTTCCGTTTTTTATATGCAGGAAACTTGCTATTTGGCCAATGGTTCTGCTAACGCACCTCAACTCAATGATAGTTATGTTGGATGCTTGAAAGGGTAAAACTTGAGAAACCTACTATATCAAATAGATGTACATCGTCACTAGGATTTTTTTTAATTGATCTTCCTATATCTGTGCCATATTTGCATTCTGAGCTCTTTCAGGCTTCATTAGTTGTTAGCTGCACTATGGCTTATAGATGGTCTGAAACACACATACTTTTCCAAAATTTTGGCATTAAGTATCTCCAATGATCCAAATTTAGAAAAATGCACGGATAATGGACTCTTTTTTTTTTTCTTTACTTGTTTTCCCTACCCACTTGCTTTTTGTGGCTTAAAGTTGCATTTTGTGTCTTAAAGAATAACTATCCTGCAGAAAAGCCTATATGTTCTTTGTGCTTCTCTCTATCACCCTCTCCGTTCCCCTGAACTTCATGCTTTATTTTTTTTCTGTCCAAGTTTCATGCATGTTTCTCGGTCTGCTTGGACTTGCACTTTCTGAGTTGAAAAAGCTTTAGCAAATATTTTGTTCTTGTTCTATGTTCCATTCTGAGATTGGATTGGCATGCAGGACAAGTTTCTGAAACACCATATTCTTGAGAATCAACGTATTCTTTTTTTTTTTTTTTTTTTTTATTCTTTTTTTTTTTTTTTTTTTGGCGACGGCTTCCTTCAATTTTTTTTTTTTTTTTTTTTTTGCGACCGTGCTTCTTCAGAAGGATGTTTTATTCTATGATTTTAGGACATAAACACGCATCTTATTTCGAGCAAATAGAACATGCTCTTGTAACGTATTACATGTCTGAATTCTTTATTTTTTGCAATTCTGACTTTCGATTGCTTGCAGGTTATGTTAGCCTCTCTCTTCCCTCCTTTTCTTGATCTCTTCTCACTGAAACAAAATCCATGTTATGAGTACTAGATAGAATTATATATGCTGGGTTTGAAGATGTTTCTTGTAATATTTTGTGCTCACCGTTTTTCAGATTTCCAATCGCTATGACCAGTCTTGTCATTTTCAAACTGCATGAGTTGGAATGCACTTAAATCTTAAGAAGATACACAGCATCAAGCTGACAATACATTTTCAAAATGTGGTTTTAATTTTATTCTCTCCAAGAGCATAGAGGACAAAAAACGAGAGTGAATGTAAAAATGTTGAAGTTTTGTTGGAGTCTTCAAATGCTGTGCCACATTAATAAGAACACTAAGGTTATATCTATATATCTATTTATATAAATATATAATTTCTAGAGCATGATACTCATTTTGTAATATACTAGAGTATGGAGTGCTGACATTTTATATTCTTTTTCATTATAATTAATCTCTTCCTTTTCATTTAATAAATATTAAGTTTTTTTAATTAAATAATGGAATTATAACTGATGAAAATCCTCGGGCACGTCTACTGGTTGAGAACTATAAACATGTTAGCTGTCGGTTCAAATGGCTTAATGTAATCTCAACCTTCACATTGATAAATTCAAATATTATAGTTATTGAAATATTGGGAATAATTATTAAGTTGTCAATAATCAACCATGCATCTCACACACATCTAAAAGCAATCAATTAGCAGCAATATGAACTTACAGGATGATTAGAGGTATTTTATGTTAAGGCTTAGGTCCAGGGATAGGTAGCATGGTCTTTGGTGAGAAGTTGCTGATGGAACCCGCAAAAGCCATGAGAAAATGAAAATATTTTCTTTGAGTTCTCGCTGAACTCAAATGCCACATTTATATGCAATGCAAAAGTATTATATATACTTCGTAACTCGCAACTTCGACCTCCCGGTCAACATTAATGTACCTATAGCTTCTTACTAAAGCGAATTTTATACAAATAATTGACTTAATACTATTTTTTAAAAATTCATTTAAAGACTCAATGGATCGAAATAACAGGTATACAGCATCGTAGCCCTCCTCTTTACTCACCAAACTGGTGAAAAATCTTAGAATTGAATTTGAGATCTCTCACTTTTTGGATTAGTTCAACACTCGGTTGATATTGACTTAATAATAATTATTTGTAAATCTGCAATTAACATTTATAGTTTATAAGTTTTGAATGGTTCAACAAACTATTTATACTATCTTAATAATTTGCATTTACATTTACCCCTTAGTTTGGAATAAATGAATTCCACAAAATTTTATGAAATTCATTTATAAAACCAAAATTTTGTATTTGATTTGAAGAATTAAATTAAATTCTATGGATTTAATTCTATGGATTTAAACATAACTAAACAAAATTCCATAAAAAAAGTTGGAATTTTCAAATGAATTCCACAAACTTAAATAACTCAAAACTTTATGATGAAACTCTCCTAGCCTTCTAAAATCATTACACCAATAATTTAGAAATAAAAACAAATAATTTTTGAATTAAAAACGTACCTGTAATTTGATTGATCCCAAGTTGTGAGTCCAGGAAAATATTGAGGATTGGAGTTCGTACCTCGAGGGCCAGTTTAAGTCCTATGATTAAGCCCTCGTATTCAACGCCATTGTTAATTGTTTCAAAGTTCAGGCGCACGACGTACAATATTCTTATCTTCCTTGGGCCTTGTAGGATGATCTCTATTGTCGCCCTAAGCTTCCTAAAGCTCCATCAGTGTGCAACTGCCAAGTATTGTAATTAGGGTTCGGTAGTTCGATTTCAGCCTCGCCCTCTTCATCTTCTCTAGAAAATTCGGCTACAAAATCAGCCAGTACTTGTGCCTTCATTTCGGTACGATGAGCATACTTGATGTCAAATTCTCTCAATTTAATTTACCATTCCACCAATCTTCCAGAGGTTTTGGCTCAGTGTAGAATCTTTTTCAGAGGGTGGTTAGTTCGGACAATTATAGTGTGAGATTAGAAGTAGTGGCGCAACTAATTCACCGAGGTAAGTATGATGAATGCTAACTTTTCAACATTTGGATATCGCAGTTCAGAACCCCTAAAGACTTTGCTAATATATTTTATAAAATAGGATACTACTCACCTTCCTCTTCTCTAACTAGTACTGATATAATAGAATTTTCAGTTGCAGCTAAGTACAAGTATAGGGGCTTGCCTTTTTTGGGTCTGCTCAAGAGGGGAGCGAAAGATAAGAAATCTTTAATTTGTTCAAAGACGAGCTGGCACTTTTCATCCCATTGAAAACCTTTCAGCTATTTTAGGGTTCGATAGAAAGGCATGCACCTCTTGGCTAAGTAGGAGATAAATCGCCCTAAGGCTGTAATTTGCCCATTCAACTGTTGAACTTCATGAATGCTTGTGGGTGCTTGCATCTCCAGAATTGCCTTGATCTTCTCAAGGCTCACCTCAATCCCCTTTTATGATATCATGAAATCCAAGAACTTCTCTGCTTTAACTCCAGATGTGCATTTGTCTAGATTGAGCTTCATATTAAACCTATTTAAGATTTCAAACGCTTCCTGTAGGTCTCTAGGATGGTCGGCAGCTCAAGTGCTTTTTATTATCATATCATCTACATACACTTCTACAGTTCACCCTATCTAATCTTAAAACATGCTATTGACTACCTCTGGTATGTGGCTCCCGCGTTTTTTAGTTCGAACGACATGACTTGATAATAATAAATTCCCCTTTTAGTGATGAAGCTCGTCTTCTCTTCATCCAGTTTGTTCATTCTTACCTGATGGTATCCAGCTGCTGCATCCACAAAATTATATATTTCATAGCCGGCTGTTGAATCTATCGGCTGATCTATATTGGATAGAGGGTAAGGATCTTTAGGGCATGCCTTGTTTAGATCAGTAAGGTCCACACATAATGTCCATTTTCCATTGGACTTTGATACCAAAATCATGTTCAACAGCCATTCTAGATAGTTCACCTCCTTTATAAACCCTGCCTTCAAAAGTTTACCCATCTTAGTTGTTATAACCTATTGTCTCTCTGGACCATGATTCCATTTTTTTTGCTTTATCAGTTTAAAGCTTAGGTCAATGTTGAGCTTCTAGGATATGGTATCAGGATCGATACCAACTATGTCTTTCACGGTCCAGGCGAAGCTGTTAATATTATCCTCTAAAACCATCTTAATAGTATCCTGTACCATTCTCGATAGATTGGCTCCCAATGTTAAGTTCTTCCCCTATTTCACCTCCTATATGATCAGCTCGCCCACATGTGTTGGGCTAGAATCTACACTATGTTTGGTGATATCAAAGGGATGGTGTTCGGTTAATTTTGTGGGTGGTTCTTCTTCTGGCATACACATGATTGGTAGGGTAAGAGGTAATCCTTTCAGTGCCATTATGTATGCTTCTCGAGCTACTTTCTTGTCTCCCTTAATAGCAACAACCTTATCCTTATCGGAGTAAAACTTCACGGTAAGATATCTGATATATGTGGTCGCTTCCACTTCATATAGGGCTGGGCTGCCCAATATAGCATTGTGTGGAAAGTGAATGTCTACCACTATGAACTCCAATTTAAGTTTCCTTGACAAGACTTCGATTTCGAGCTCTAGGTTTAAGCTTTGCCTGGTCTAGTTTCAAAGCCTTGAATACTTCCATGGTCAACAAATTCACTGCACTACCTTTATCTACCAAGATTCATTTTACTAGAAAGTTTTTCAAAATCCCCTCGATTACTAGGGCATCATTGTGTAGGGCATGCACAAGTTCGCCATTGGCCTCAGAGAATGTTATGGGTGGCCTAGTGCAGGGTTTCTACTGGGGTAAAATGGAATAGATTTTCTTGGCTCTCCTTTTTTTGGCTGTATTGCTATCACCTCCTGATGACCTACAAACTATGGGTGAATCATGCCTAGGGTATGACATTCTTTCACCTGTTTGTCCTTCTATTTAGTTTCCCTTCGAGCTCTCTCAATAAATTACTTCAGTTCGCCTCTTTGCACAAGGCGTTCTATCTCTTTCTTTAATTGCCAACAGGCTTCGGTCTCATGGCCTACATCCCTAGGAACTTGCAATACTTGCTCTTATCTCGATAGCTCGAGGTATCCTCCTTCAGCTTTCTGGGATAATAGAACTGAATTTGATCACCATGTTCTCTTATCCAAGACAGTATTTTGGAGCAGGGTCTGTTCAAAGGGCTAAACTACATGTCTTGTTGTGGTTTGCCGTCTCTTGAGTATGGCGTTCGAATAGAGTACCTGGTACGTGGGAGCCGGATAGGCAATCTCCTTCGAGGCGATCATCTCCTCACTAGAGATGGGTGTCTTCTGTGTCTATACCTCTCTTATTTAGGCGATCTATGATGTTGAGCCTTATAAGCTTCATCTAATTTTGTGTGCTTGTGAGCTCGTGCCATGAGTTCGGCAAAGGTCAGGGGTGGGTCTATGCTTAAATTTTCAAACAATCTAATATACCTGTAATTTTTTGCCATAGCACTAATAGCTACTTTATCATTAAAATTCTCCACTTGCATTGTCATTCTTTGAAATTTCATCTCAAGGTCTCTCCCTCCTCTCTTTTCAAATCTACCAAGTCAGATGATTTTTTTTGGATGGTACACATGTTATGAAACAAGCTCGGAATGCTGTGGCCAACTGGGAGGAGGAATGAGTGGATCCTATTTTGAGTGTTTGATACCACTCCTGAGCTGCTCCTTTCAAGGTAGTTGAGAAAGAGCTTACACATTAGATCCTTTGAACTGGTTTGCAGATAAATCATAGTTCGAAAGATCGCTAGATGGCTTCAGGGATCAGTAGACCCGCCATAAGATTGGAAGGTGGAAAGCTTAAATTTTGGTGGAAAAGCTGCAGCCAAAATATCAGCTGATAATGGCGAGTCCTGTCAGAGACCATTATCTCTTGTTTCTCCTATTTCTCTATACTCCCGAACCAGTTCCTTGATAACATTTTAGAGATTAACTCTGTCCAAGAGTAGCTGGGTATGACTTAGCTCTTGGCTGTTGGGGATCGTCGCACTAGGGTCTACCTCCAATTCTGCTTCATGGTATCGATTAGATACTGAATGACTTCGGTATTTAGGCGAAGTTAGAGGGAGGCTATGTTCTTGGTAGGGAGGTTTTGCCGGTCCGGTGGGTGATATTGGCTCACCAGCAGGCTGAGGGTTCTCCAAAAGGCGTTTCAGCACAATGGTGAGTTGCGAATAAGCTTGAGCTAGAGCAGCTGCTACCTGGGGATCAGTGGTTGGTAGAAGGGCGAATAGGGGTTGCTGGTTGGCCTCGCCATGGGTGTTGTCTTGGCCTTCCATGTTGAGGTGCTCAGTGGGATCGATAGCCATAGGGATTGAGAAAGACTATGGGGACTTTTCTTTCATTTTTTTAAGGATTGAAGGTGTGTTCCACGCTCACCGCACCAATTGTTAAACTCTCAGAATTTGAGGTGTAGTAAATTGTGAATTAACCGCTCATTGGAGTAAATTTAGGGGATATATACTGGATCTAGGATCATTGTGTCAGGATAATGATTACGAATCTCATATTATCTGTTAGTTAGAGTTTGTTTAGGAGTCTAACATCATTATTTAAATATATTTTGTTATTGTATGTTAATAGTAATATTACACACATTTCGACACTAATATCAATCATTTTTAGAGTTTTTGCCTTTTATATAAAATATCGACTTGATATATAGTTAGCGTGACTTTTAGAACAATAATTTGCATAAATTTCAACTTTTTATTGAATGCTTAATTAATCTAATTTTTTTAGTTGAAGTATTCATTTGAAAATTGAAGTGTTCAATAGGTATAATTTTATAAATTGAAGTGTTTCATAAGTCAAAATAAAAGTTTAGAAAATGTCACAAGGTTAAAGTAACAAAGTTCGGGGTGAATTTATGTATTTGGTCAGTTGAAGATGCATAAGAACTTTCAATAATTTTATCAAATAACATATAAAATTAAATTATTTTTCTTTTTCTTTTTCGTGAATGGTTGCAAATCTTTTTAATAAACTATGTATCCCACTTGCTGCATTCAATCAAAAATAGTGAAACCGATTTTTTTTTTTTTTTTTAATGAAGCCAATATGAAAATATTGTCAAACTTTATCGGTGCATAAGAAAAAAATTTAAATAACTAAATTTAATTATCTAATTGATCTATTATAAGTGGAAAAATTATTAATTATCTTTAATTTTTTCAATTATTAATTAATGTTTAATTTTTTCGCAGTGTTTTGCTTTAATACAATATAATGATAATGATAATAATAATAATAAGAAAAAAATATATATCCTAGAGCTCTTACACCGTCGTTATTCAATATTGTCTATTTTTAATTTTTTTTCTTCCTCCAGAGAAATTTGTTTATGCTAAATAAAAAAGTCACAAGAAATTTGAGAAAGATAATTCATAAATTAGAAAAAAACTATCGTCCTCCTAAGGTCAGTATGAGGTTACTAATTCAACACATGGATGTCTATAAACAAATACACAGATTAAACATTGTCTGAGAGAGGATATTTTATTCTATCATGTCTTGACACAGTAGATATAAGAACTAATAAACAACTTTCAACTTTAAATTTATGCAATGAGATGATACTTACCACCGAACGAAGAAAGCATGATTGGAAGCTCAATAATTTAAAAAAATAAATTCTTGATAGTTAAAAGTAAGAAACAAATTTTTAATAGTCAAAAGTAATTAAAACTAAATATATATAGTTGCATGATAAGGCACCATCCTAATTAAAACAGGACAAAAGACAATTTTCTATATAAAATTAGATTAAACTTTCTAATATAATTTAGATTCGAATAGAAAATTAATTAACTAATAAATATATTATTCAAAGTCTAATTTGAAAACTAAAAACTTAAAAATATATTAATTGGCCTTATCTTTTATGTAGAGGCGTAAGTGGTTATTAATTTGGGTACTAGCTTCCCGTTTTCATTATAGTTTTACATATTTCTGTGCTTTTTTTTTAAATGAATTTTTTTGTGCTTATTAATTTGGGTTTTATGTTCTAGTTTTACATTTTTTTTTGGTCTAATTGGACAAATAGTTAATTCTACGGATTTTTCTATATTATAATCTGAGGTAGCTGACTTTACCTGAGGGTAAAAAGCTTGACTAAGGTCGGTTGGCCCTGTCCCGTCCCGTTTGGAGAATTTTATGGAAAGGCAGTTCTTCTCGCCGTTCAAAGCGCATGAGAGTCTGCATGTGTTAAGCATATCGTTTTTTGGAGAAGGTAAGTGAATTTCAAATTGCATTTTTTGAATCAACCCCGTGTTTATTTTTTGCCAATAAAATCTATCATTTAAAAAAAGTATATTAGAAAATTTAATTAGTATAGAAATATTTATGTTTCCAATAAAAAAAAATTAAAGTTTTAAACTGCATAATTTTCTATTTAGAATTAAATTAAATTACCTAATAAAATTTAAATTCAAATAGAAAATTAATATACTTTTATTTTTCCATCAATAAAATTAAAATTTTCAATAATATTTTTATCCATCTACAAAATTAAGGGGGCGTTTTAGAAACCTACTTCTATATATACTAGCACGGAGCGCACCAACTTCCTAGCAAGCAAGACAAGGTACAAGATGCAATCATTGATAGCAATAAGGCCAATAAGGACATGAACAAGACAATAGTAAACCCAGGATAGCGTAGAAAACATCAAAGAACAATACCGGAATACAATTATTAGGTAAAAGGAAAAAAACATAAGCAACACAAGATACAATCATTGAAAGTAATAAGACCAATAAGGATACGAACAAGACAATAATAAAACCCATAATAGCATAGAAATCATCAAAGAACAATACTCTGATGCAATTATTAGGAAAAAAGAAAAGGCTTCGGCCAGCAAATCTCCAATGGAGACATGGTTGTTTTTTTATCAGCAGCAAAGTTTTACCCAAGCCAACAGGCTTCTCCATGTCTATATCTCTTCTTCTAAGAGACTCTCATAAGAGATATCAAACTTGACAAAAGTATTGACACCAGTAAATATTCCATCAACTTGTCGAGTGATTTCAGTTGTTCCATCATAGAGAGTGTCGCGTTGATCGTAAGTGAAAGGGATGTCAATGGTGCCCCTTTGTACTAACATAGTCACTATTGACCTAGTCATGGGTGGAGTAGTAACCGTCTCACTTGTGCTCAATTCTTTTGATGTTTCTAGAGATTCTCCCCATGAGTATTCTCCTGAGTATGACCCTTCAATCGTAATCCCTGTTTCTCCAATAAATGGAATGTCGGTTGTCATATCGACAGAGACACCTAAACTCCATGAATTACTCTTATTCCAAGTATTGCTCCTAGTTTCTGTGTACGAGAAACTTACATCTCCTACGGTCTCTGTACTATTTTTATTAGTCACATCTTTGGTTATCGAGTCCACAGTGGTCATGTTATATCTCCTGCCATCCTCTATTTGAAAAGTGACATTGTAGATTTCCCTTCTAAGAACAGTGTCTACAACCTCAAGCTGAGCTTCTCGTGTAATTTCAGAAGTGCCAGCGTTAAGGCAATTGGTGTTGCCCTCAGTGGTAAGTCTCTTGCAGAACAAGTTGTTGCCTAGGTTTCGTAGAGCAATTACTTTGCTAGCAACCTTGACAGGCATAAACAATGTGTCTTTATTGTTGTTGGTGGAGTCCCTGCTGTCAGACCATATCCAATTGGGGCTGCGCCTCCAGAACTTGTCATACTGAAGGGACTTTATGCGGACTCTGCCATCATATAATGGGAAGACTTGGTACCGGGCTACCTTACCCCCTATGTCATCGGCGGCAAACTGATTATATTCATGATTATTGACCATATGGGCACGGAGGTATTTGCCATTATCACCTTTGAAAGCGATATACATTGGCAATGTCACGAGGGTGTCCATATCTACTAATTGAATGTCAATATCACCCACTGGGAGAATAGACAGACAATGGGGATGGCTTTGGAAAGATTCGGTCTGCACAAAGAATCCAGTTTGGACATGGCGCAAAGTGTAACCATTTGTAGTGTGATGCGAAGAAAGAAGTTGGAAAAGTGTGCATGACCATTTGGATTTGTCTTCCTCAGGTTCATCAGCTGCCCCAACAATCCAATCGTCTTCTGCAGAAGACCTCACCAAGTACTTATTGTTGTAACAACATCTTATGTGGACCAAGTCATCCGCATCACCAGTCTTTGGGTATTGCAATTCAAATTTCGTGTACGGAGTTCTCAAAATCTCGTCTTCAGAGAACTGGAAGAACCCGCGCACCTTGTCATCTTCATTCATATACCGCAAGTATTTGCTATTGGTGCTAATACTTGTTTTGATTGCAACGAACCTTGGAAGAGCCAACAAAAGAGACATCTCTCTGTCTCTCTCTCCACTTATCTATGTTTTGATCTTAAAAGAGGGGTATTGGTCTTACTTGTTTACTACTTTTCTTGTTGCATGGCTGCTCCAACCCCTCACGCTATTTATAGGCAAAAAGCCTATGAACAGATATTTGCAAGGGTAATTATAAAAGGAAGAAAAAAAAAAATTATGAATCTCCTGAAAATTAGGAACGTCTACATGTTTTATACTGATTATTTTAATTGCAAATATCTGAATCTTGCACAAAATAATTGGCACCGTTATTTTACACATGTTTTTCTTGTTTTTATTCATCTATTGGATGTGAGCTAGGATTGTAGTGTACGTCATCTAGAGCTTTAGTTTAATTTTCAAGAGATCCATAATTATTTTAATAATTTTTTTATTTGAAGAGAATCTAGTTCTCTTCGAACCATCAGCGCCCTGCTTGAATGTCTGAACCTATTTAGCTAACGGAAATTACTCATGGTTCTAATGAACTATGCTCGAAGATTAAAAAAAATAAAATATTCATACAGTCTTTTAAAAATTAACTAAATCTCTGAATCACTTAGATTGTACTTCTAGATCACGTCTAGTCAGTTCCAAACTGAATTTCTTAAGCATGAATTTGAATCATGCACAGGATAACTGAATAATCTAGACTGTTTATTTTAAACCTGTTTTTGCATCTGTTCTAGATATATATCTATGACTTACTAAGTGTAAATTATCAACAAGTTGAGTTTAATTTTTAGAAAATTCGTAAATTTTATTTATTGGATATTTTGAGGATGGCTCTTGTAGAACCATTTGTTCACTAACTAACATATGATAATTCTTTTTAATGCAATAACGGTTACGAAGCATAGACATCTTAAAAGATTTGATGTATTGATGTCGGACATTAACACTCTTTGAACACTCCTGGACATCTTCCTTGTCGTTAATATTACCTGCGGCCCCACCACCGCTAACTACTATATTGTTGCTCAAAATGAGGGAGGGTAGTGCAAGTGGATGTTATGTTGTTATTCAATAACCATAAAGATTCTTTTTCATCCAAGTTATTGGATGGCCTAGGTTGATCCAGAACAAAAAGATAACATATTAAGATCATACATGGATAGAGATTTTAGGAATCAAGATCATACAATATCCAATAATAGAGATTCAATATATTACATGGAAGAGATTTTAGGAATCAATATCATACAATATCATATAGGAGATTCAATAATATATATATATATATATATTATATATATATATATATATATATAATATATATATATATATAAGATGCAAAAAAAAAAAAAAAAAAAAACTATATCCTATAACAAAGAAATTATATTTAAAAAAATTTATAAAATTTATTTGGTTAATGAAAATTTACAAACTATCGTATAACAGAAAAATTATATTAAAAAATTTTTATAAAATTTATTTGGTTAGTGAGAAACAAAGGGAAATATATTATATTAATATTATAAATTTAATCTCATTCTAATCTAGAATTTGTCTTATATCATACAACTATATATATGAAAAATTATGAAAAATTATTACATCAAGCTCTTACTAATTTAGAATTATTGAGTTTATATATATAGTTTTAATTACTTTTGACTATCAAGAATTTGTTGCTATTATCAAGAATTTGTTCCTTTTGACTATCAAGAATTATTATATCAAGCTTTTGTTAATTTGAAATAATTGAATTTGTTGATATGTGTTCTTGTTGTGATAAGTATAATCTTATTGTATGAATTAATATCATAATCTATACTCTTTAGTTTGTATGCATTGTTAATTATGTATTAATTTTATATTTTAACTCTCTCTATTTTCAAATTAATATAATCGATAATTTACATATCCGTCTAATAAATTGGAAGTTTAAAGGTAATTATGGCGTATGTAGAGGACGACCGGTACTACTGAATCTATATCCCCGTTGCATGCCTCATTTGAAAGTACATGGTTAAGTATTAGTTAGTATCTTATTTTGATTCTTGAAATAGGATCAAATAAGGACAGTGTAGGCGACACAAATTTATGACATCAAGTTAATCAATGTTAAAATCACCATAAAAGATATATATATATATATATATATACTGATTTCACAGCTAAACCTTTAATTTATTTTTGTACAACTTATTTTACACTTGAATGCTTCTTTTATATACTTATTTTTTGTACAACTTTATTGAATGCTTCTTTTATATACTTATTTTTTTGTACATCTTTTAATTTATTTTAGCTATATAATATTAAAGCATAAGTTTTTGTTTAGATTAAAATAAATATAAGTGGTTAATTTATATTACACTTTATCGTATAAGCTACTTGTAACGCTAATTTTTATATACATAATTATATTTTTATATATTGAAGTGGTTTCAAATGGAATTACAATGGTAGTTATTTTGGGTGCAGTGGTGATGTTAGTTACTAAATATATTAAAGAAAGGTTCTTAGTAATCAATTAATAAAAATTTGTCAATTCACACGCAGCTACTTGTAGGGTACAACAATTATAATATCTCTTGGTTTTATTATTATTATTATTATTATTAAAGAAATAAGTTTTATTATTATTATTATTATTATTAAAGAAATAAGTTCTTCTAATTAAATACAGATTTTAAATTTATTGGTTGAAAAAATAAAGAAATCTTCCCTGACTAAAGTTGGAATAGATTAATAATTGAATAGAAATTTTAGTTTTAATTCATATTTTTCTAATAAATTTATTTTTTGTAAGTGTATAATTTATTCTTATAATTTTTTTTATTTGATTATTTTTTACTTTTTTAATATATTGTTTGTAAAAAGATTAAGTCACATATAATTATATCGAGTACACGTATAAAAATGTGAATGAGGGAATATTGGGTTCCTAAAATGCCCCTGTCAAATTTATAAATTGACAAAAATATCATTGGTTGGTTGAAAATTTTATTTGTTGAAAAATGAAAGTAGTTTAATTGTGATTGGTTATGTTGATTTCCTATTTAAATCTAAATTTTATTATGAAGTTTAATCTAATTCTAAATAAAAAATTGTTCAGTTTATTTCCATTTGAATTTAGCTAAAAAAAAAAATAAAATATTATTATTTAAAAATTTCAATTCAATTTTAGCTAACGATTGCTATATGTAAAATTAATATAAATATATAATGGAAAAATAAGTATACGGTTTTTACAAAACTATTTTTAGCTAACCGTTTGAGTTTTTTGTGTTTTTTTTTTTTTTTTTTATCTTTTTTATATAAACTAGATGGACTGTATGGACGACGAAAATAGTTTTCTTTCTATTTTCTGTTTTCGTAGAAAATATTATTGCACGTGACAATCGTGGATCAAACAGACAGCCAGCCTGTAAGTTTTATTATCACAGAGGACAATGGTCCAGGTTGATTTCTCTACGGAGTATAAGAGAGACACCTGGCCTTTTTGTTTTTTCTTGCAGGTGCAAACGTGTGGGTGGCTGGGTGGGAGATGAGGATAACATTGTCCGGAGCAACATTGTCAAAAGGTGTGTATATATATATATATATATATATATATATATATATATATATATCTCAATAAAAAATAATAAAATATTATATATATTATTAAAATTAAAATTTTAAGCTGTTCACCAATTTCACACACACATATGTTCATTTTATTTAAAATAAATTTAGAAAAATATAAATTTAAAAAATTTGAAAGATTTAATTGTGTGTATTTTATTTGGAAATTTATTTTTTTAAAAAATATGTTCAATCAAATCCATTGTTTTGAAAACCGGAGCGGACCAACCGGTTTCACCTATTCGACCGGGAACCAAACAGTGGTCCGGTCCAAATTGCATATCAAAATTGAATGTGTAAAAATTGGCTTGAAACAGTAAACACCGGATAAAAACGGTGAACTAGATCAATTAAAAATCAGTTTGATTCAATTTCAAATTTCCGGGTTTTTACATAAAAATATAGGCTTTTTTTTTAAAAAAAATTTTGCCTCTTTAAAATTAGGTCCACTTATTTTTTAATTTTTTTTGAATTTTTTTTTATTTCTAAAAACCCAAAAAGTCTTAATATGTTAATTAAAAATAATTAAATTTAGCCTAACCGTATGAAAAATAATAAATATATTTTATGGTAATTAACTAATTTTTTTAGATTCAAAATTTCTTCATATTTTATTCTTTTTCTTTCAAAATTTATTTTACTAATTTTTTATGCTTTTTGTAAAATCAAAATTTTGGAAACATTTTTTATTTTGCGATCAAAATTTTTTTTTAAAACTATATTTTTAATTTTATTTTAATTAATTTTATTTTAATAAATATATTTAAAATGCTATATTGAACCTAGTCAAACCTTCCGGTTTACTGAATCCCTACCTTCACCGATTCATCGACTGATCTGGTGCTTGGAACAATGATCAAATCATATAAACATAGAGAAAAATATTAATAAAATCAACATACTTTTTTCATTTTTTGTCTCTCTCCTGAATAAAATATTATGTGTTTTTTTTTAAAAAAAATATCCAATCAAATCATACACATATAAAGAAAAAAAAGAATATTAACAAAAAAATATACTTTTTTATTTCTCTCTGAAATAAAATATTTTAAATTATAAAATATAATCAAATATTTTAAAAAATAAAATATAAAAATTTTTCAAATGTCTCCTTATTCATATAATTTTATTAAAAATAATTAAAAATTTAAAATTTTGAAATGCTTATATAAATCTATATGTATTTTATTAAAAGAATAATATCTATATGTATTTATTTAAAAGATAATTTATGTAAATATATCCAATTGTTATGAAATATAAGAAATAGAAAGAATCGATAAAATAAGAGAGAGTGGAGAGAAATTGATTTCTTGTATTAGGATTTTAGTTGCCTAATCCAAAGG